CAAGCATCTATAATACTAAAAGCTGTTCAAAGAGAGAAGGGCCCCCAAAGTCCGCAGAGGCATATTATTGGAACAGTTAAGGCTCGATAATCTCAGCTGGGGGGAATAATGGTGTACAGGGGTGAAGGGAGAGGTGAGTGAGATGATTTACGTGAAACGTCAGCACATTGCTGGGCACATGGTAGGTGATTACCGTATGCAGATGATGTTAGCCTTCTCACTGTGAGCGGCGCTGACATCGAGCCTGAGTCATCACCGGATGGAGTTCAGTGGATGGGTCCAATAAATTACATGGCTCCTACTCACACACGCTAACTGGATTTAATTGGCTAATTAAAATCAGCAGTTTCAGAGTGGCTCCGGAACCAATCAACCTTCTCCCTGACCTTGAATAATTTTTGTTTTCAATTCTCCCTGATTCAGTTTATCTTAAAACAGTGATCATAGCAAAACTGCCTTAGTTTGGTGTAGCGATAAAAAAATGAACACGCATAAAAATTTTAGAACAATGCCCCACATGCTAATTTTTCAGTGAGTGTTAACTACTCTTACAATTCAGAGGATTGCTGGGGGATACAGAACTTGAGATTTATGTTTAAAAAATACTAAAACTTTAGGTAAATGCCCAACTGGCAACGGCTTGAATAAATAACACAAAGAGTATTAAATATTGTGTAATGACCGGATAGTTGGGAGATTTCATCAATCAGGACAGAGTTTGGCTGAGGTTAGAAATGAAATTGAAGGAGATGATGAGAGGAAAGCTCAGCCAGTGGACCTTAGGTTCAAAGTGCTGAGCAGTAGGGGGGTGGGATTCCATGTGTTCTCCAGCAGGGTTATAGGACGTACATGTGCTACTTGAAAATAACCTTATGTGATTTAAGGATAAGTTGTCTTATCGTTAAAAATTACAGCTAGTATGGCAGAAACTTTTCTGCAAACCCTTCTTTCACACAGAAATAGAAATTTCTATTTCAGGGCAATTTCTGTTTCAGAAAGTCTACAACACTTTTCTCCTTAAAACTTTCCCTTTGGATTCACAATGTGGTGGTTTTCTTTTTGCTTGAATTCCTTGACATCCAACGTGATGCTGTTTATATCTGTATTTCCCGTCGTCATTTTCTGAGAGTAAATTTAGCCCATGTTGCCAAAGCACTTTATGTTGAATATATTAAAAAGGCATTAATCAGAATGTTTAAAATGCTTTCATTTTAAAGTGATACTTATCAAATCGACACAACTAGTGTTCTTGGGAGGCTTGCAAGTAGGTTCTGAGCACACATGTCTTAGAGAAAAAAATCTAAAAGTAAGTTCCACACCACACGTATTAACAGACTAAGATAGCTTCTCTATGAAACTTAAGAAACTACAATGCCTCATTGACTACATTCAGATTCAGTACTTAAATTTAAACTGACCGTTATCATTTATAGAGATTAAAATACTATCTAAGATATTACAATTATTTTGTTATCACACATACAATTTCCTTGAGAAGAAAGATTGTGACTTACTTTTCTTGGTCTAGCTCTCAGAGCCACTGTGGGCACTAGGCTGCGTTGCAATGAATTCAGTTTGCATTAGAAGGATCTGTGTAATGAGAAACCATTTTTCCACTACAGAAGCCAGTCCCAGGTTCTCTGCCTATTTACTTCCCAGCCTGAGCTGCCAGTTTCTTTGGGCTGATAATGGCCAGCAGGAAGGAGTAGAATAGAAACAAAGACCTGGATCTCCAGGGAACAGGTGATTGCGGACAATTACTATCGTCTAGGTGAGCTTGATTGTGTTTTCTCTTTGGTGACTGCTTAGCTACTGGGGGACTTTCTTGTCCTTTGAATTACACTCCCCATTAATCATGAAGGAGAATTGCAGGGTAGGGTTACGAATTCTACCTTTTCAAAGAAATGTAATACATTCTTGTGCTCAAAGGGATGAGTAAAGCATCTCACAGGGACACCAATTCGACCAAGAAAGTGATTAAAAGCGAAGGAGAAACTCCCAGGGAACAAAGGCTAGGGAACAACTCACTTGTCTGCATTTCCTTCCAAAGTGTTTTTGGATCTTCTATGAGGAGGATTTAAAGGCTGTTCTACAGCTACTGCTGGTTTTGCCAGTTTACCCATCTCTGAGACGTCAATAAACATGCACAAGCTGCTCCATCCTCTGAGGGCGAGGGAAGGAGATCGGTGGAAAGCTCACTTTAGCAGAAGACTTTGTCTGCACAAATCAGAAATTCCATCATATATATTTCTATTCCCCTCAATAACTGGCAAGGGGCTAATCCAAATGAGCTATTGCAGGAAGCCACTGTAGTCCTCACAATTTCTGTGTGATGGGGCCCCAAATCAGAATTGTAAAACAGCTTGGAGAATCTTGGAACATAAAACACGGTGTGAAAAACCAAAGATGATTTCATCTTATTTATAGAAAGGTGGTTGGCAGTGAAGGGGGCAATGGGAGAGAGTGGCTTGGGATCATCATTAATCATTTTTTAAGCACCAACCAAGTGAAAACACCCCCTGGAATTCACTGCAAGTGACACTGAATTCTTCTACTAAGCAAATAAGTGATGAGTTGATAAAAAAAGAGAAGGTTCCGAACTCTTGACTACAGATATAATACAGTGAATATAGAAAATCAAAAACATGCTTCCTATCTGACTCAGAATAAAGGTGCACTTCAACTTGTAAAAGACAACATTTTTATTTGAATGATATGACAGAACTGTCACAGGAGTGTTACCTGCTATAAAGAAAGCCTAAGAATTATTACCTTTATTAGACCAGTGACACTGAGCTTTAGCCATACATTTCTAACTTCTGTCCCTCTACAGAGACAATTTTCTTTTCTTAAATAAACTGTCATGCTAGTGTTAATATATTGTTGGCTCTCTCATGCTCTGAGAATACTGCTGATATAAAACATGTATATGTTAGATTGGTAATAGTATCTTTAGTGTAGCTGACTAGAACAAATGTGTTTCCCTCATGGCTGTGCTAATGTGATAAAGGAAAATTGGCTGTTCATCAGCTTTTGGCTGGGTGAAGACAGTAGAGATGGAACCACATTCTTTTTTATGCATTAATACCACCGAGAACTTTTCACTAGTTATATTTCATGTGCCTGCGTGTCGCCCAAAGATGTTGTAAAACATGAGATAATGCTGCAAATAACAAAGTAGAAAAGCCGGTATCTTTTATAATGATAACAGTCAAACACCAAATGACAGTAACAGGCTGTAAAAAAATGGGATGCAAAACAAAAAATGCAGTCCTACTACCCAGCAGAGAGGAATAGATCTAAGCCCATGAAGAGTGGGTGTGTGATTTTAGGTCTATTACAGCTTTGTTGAAAAATTAAATCAAACACAACACTGGGTCAGTGAATTTAACAAAGAAAATGTCCAAGTGAAAGCAGGTTGCTTAGAGTGGAGGAAAGTTAAATTGAGGAACTTTTTGAAAAATCAGTTATTAACAAATAATTAAGGCATTAACTTTCAGATTTTTTTTTTGTTTATTTGTTTAGTTGTGTTTTTGGTAGGGAATTTTCGAAAGGACTTCTTAAGATAATAATTCATACAGTAATTAAAGATGTCCGAGAATACATGTTATCTTCATTCATTGTTGGAAGTCCTTTTAAGTGGAAAAGCATTTAAAACATAATTTTTTCAAAAAGAACTATTCGTAGGCTCACAGTAAAGTTGAATGAATGCGACAGACATTTCCCATATCCACCCTGCCTTTTCATACTTTTCCCACTATCAAAATCCTGCACCGGACACGGGCGTTTGTTACACTGATGAACCCACACCGGTTCGTCATCATCCCCTGAACTCTGCCTCAGAGCAGCATTTTGAGTGCTGTGGTTTACACAGTTTTAATTAAAGTGTGAGCATCCAGCACACAATAGCAGACCATTAAATCTGCATCTCTTCCTCCCCAACCCTTTCCTTCTCCGGAGTCTTTTGTTTGCCCTTTGAACTGCTTTCCTCGAGAGAGTGCTGAAGATTGCTTTTGCACTTAAGTTAAAAGCACTTGAACAGAAACACTATTTGTAGAGCCTAAATTTGATGTCAAAACAGCTGACCACTTTAGCGAGGATTACATGCAATTATTAAAGATGTTGTGTAGATATGAACTTTGATGGGTTTTACATAAAAATTTGAATTGCTTATTCAAGGATCATGCCACCCAAACAGAACTTCAGTACCTTTTTATGGTGTAATCCAGAGATCAAACTGCAACCAGTGGGGCATATCAGGTTGGCCACCTGTTTTTCTAAATACAGTTTTATTGGACGACAGGCATATTCGCTTACATATTGTCCCTTGTTGTTTCCATTACAATCTCAGAGTTAAGCTGTGGTAAACTCGGACGGTTTGGTCCACAGCACTAAATTATTTGCCTTTCAAAGAAAAAAAATATTTCTGGCCATTTATAGGAAAAGATTGCTAACCTAGAAAGTAAATGGACATTACTAAGCTTCTTGATCGATTAGCTTAGTCTAAGGCCAGCAAATATCTAATTTATTTTGCATTGGGAAAATATAGCTGAAAATTACCAATAATATACTAACACCTAAAAGAACAAATATTTATTACAAGTATTTTGTTCTAGTAATTTAAATTATATCCACATGTAATGAATGGTTATATTTCTGGTTTTGAATATCTCACCTTTTTGTGTTAATTTCTTCCTTTCCAAATGCAGCCATACCGAATTTAATGAGCATTAAAGAAAGACAATATCTTTAGAGTATACGAAGGCATGGCAATCAGAGCTATTGCATATCTAGGACAATTATGCTTAGCTGTGATTATGTAGGGACTATAGCAGCTCAAGATCACACTGTGTAGATTTATGTCTAGACTTACCAACACAGGCATCATTGTAGCCTTTTCCAGTGAAGAAAGTGGACAAGTAGTAAAGTAACTTGAGAAAATTGTTGATACGTGGTTATGATAAAGTAAATGTTTAGACACTGAAAATAATTTCTTGCAGGTGCATCGGACAAAAATCAACTTCTTTATCAATGGCGTGGAGGAGGATAATGTGGCTTTCGATACAAGAACTCTAAGTGGATCCATTTCAGATTTGGCTTCCAGTACTATACAAGTAGGACAGAGTTTAAATGGTATGAGACTGACTTCAGAATGCTATTTATTTTATCCAATGACATTGTTTCTAAAATGCATCAAAGAAAGAATGTTTTAAATTATTAGGGTTTATTTCTTGGGGCCACTGTAGCAAACTACTATCAACTGGGTGGCAGATTAACGTAGTGAAATGCAATCTCTGTTAGTCGTGGAAGCCAGAAATCTGAAGTCAACGACTCTGCGGTGTTGGGTCTCTCTCCTTCCGCTGGCTGTGGGCAAAGCTTTCCACTGTGTGACTTGCAGCAAGGCAGATTCAGAAGCTTTGTCGGGCACGGTCCCCTCCTCTATCTCTTCCTCCCTAGATGAGGGCCCCGCTCAGCTAGCATGAGCTCATCTCCAGATTCCTAACAGAGTTACTTTACACCTTCAAAGACCCTCTGTTCACATCAGATATCAGGGACAGATTCTAGACAGACATATCTTTTAGGAGCTGCTATTCAGTACAGCTTTAAAATGAAAACTTCTCTGCTTGGATTAACTTTATAAGAAAGAACAATATGCGGTAAACCATGCCTTCTTTCCTCTCTCCTTTTATGGCTGGGATTTTAACACAGAGAATTGTTAAAATGAGACTGTGTGGGGCTGGGGATTTAGCTCAGCGGCAAAGCGCCTGCCTAGCAAGCACAAGGTCGTGAGTTCGGTTCCCGGTACCGGAGAAAAACCATTAAAAAAATAAAAAATAGAAAAAATAAAATGAGACTGTGGAATATGAAAATTGACAAATGATATTAACATGTGATAAACTAGATCTATGATGTTCCTATTTTCTAACACTAAAAACAGGCTGCATAATTTAAGAAGCTAATATGTACTACAGATAGAAAAACATTTAAGAAAAGAAAAGAAGTAGAAAGGAGACTTATCTAGTCCAGTGGTTTATGCCACTTGCTCTCTTAGCCTTTTTGATAATAGCCATTTTTATTGGGGTGAAATGATGTCTCATTGTGATTTGGATTTGAATTTCCCCAGTGTTTAGTACTGCTGAGCATTTTTTTTCATATACTTGTTGGTCATTTGTAAGGCTTCCTTTGGGAAATGTTTATTTAGGTCTCTTGCCCAGTTTTTAATTGGGGTATCTGTTTTGATTGTTTGTTTTCCATAATGACTGTAACAATTTTATCTTGCTGTTGAGATTTTGGCGCTTCTTACAAATTCTGTATATCAGCCCCTTGTCAGCTGTATAGTTTGAGAATGTTTTCTGCCATTCTGTAGGCTGTTTCAGCCCTCTGTTGATTATTTGCTTTCTTGTGCAGGAGGTTGTTAGTTTAACATAGTCCTACTTGTCTGTTTTCCCTTTTATTTCCTGTGCTTTGGGGTCTTGTCAAAAAATCTTTGTTCTTTCCAGTGTCCTGAAGTGTTTTGTTTCTGTTTTCTTCTGGTAGTTTCATAGCTTCACACCTTTCTATCAAGTCTTCATTCCATTTTGAGTTCACGTTTGAAACTGGAGCCTGAGAAGGGTCTAGATTCTCTTCTGCGTGAGGATACTCAGTCTTCCCCATTTATTGAAGATTATTCTTTCTCCAGTGAATGTTCATGGCACCCTTACAAGAAAACCACTGGCTGCAGATTCACAGGTTTATTTCTAAGCTCTCTATTCTGTTCTATTCATTTATGCTTCTGTTTTTAATCTTATTAGATTAAAAACATGTTTTTATTACATAACTCTGTAGTATATTTTGGAGTCAGGTAGTATGAAAGCTTCCTTTTGTGTTATTTTTCATCAAGATGGCTTTGGCATTTTTTGTAGTTTCGTATGAACTTTAGAATTTATTTTTTTCTAGTTCTATAAAAACAATATTGGTATTTGGTAAGACTGCATGAAGTTAGTACATCACTTTGGGTAGTATGGATACTGTAACAGTATTCACGCTCCCAATTCATGTATAAAGAATGCCATCCTCTCCAGTTTGTTTTGCATCCTCCCCAGTTACTTTCATCCATATTTTATAATTTTCATTGTATAGTTCTTTTACCTCTTGGATAAATTTATTCCCAGATTATTTCCAGATATTTCAATGAGATGGTTTTTTAAAAATTTTTATTTCAGATAATTCATTATTGGCATTTAGCATCACTGCTGAGTATTGTATGTTGGTTTTGTATTCTGCAACTTTGCAGAAATCATTGATTGGTTCTCAGAGATTTTTGTGAAGTTTTGGGGAATGTCTATATGTAAGATCATGTCCTCTACAAATAGCGGCAATCTGACTTCTCTTCTAGTTTACATGCTCTTTCTTTTCTTCTTCTGCCTAATTTTCTCACTAGAACTGATGGTACTGTGCTGAATAAATGTGGTAAAGATGGATGTCCTTTTGTAGTTCCAGAACTGGGAGAGAATATGTTCAGCTTTTCTTCAGTGGAATAAAAGTGGCTTATTAACAAGTGATTTTTATTATGTTGGAATACACTCCTTGTGTAACTAATCTGTTAGCATTTTTATCATGAAGCATTTTTGTCATTCATTCTGTTGATATGGTATATCACATTTATTGGTTTCCATATATTGAACCATTCTTCATCCTTGGGATGGATCCCCCTTGATTATCCTTGATTATTGTGAAGAGTGTGCTGTTGGATTCAGTTTCTGGAAGATTCTTGCATGTATCTCCATGAAGGATGCCCTTAAGACTATGATGTGTGTGTGTGTGTGTGTGTGTGTGTGTGTGTGTTTTCTTATTTCATTTGGGGAACAGGATAAAGATGACCTCATGAATGTGCTTTGAGGAATTCCTTCCTCTTCTAGTTTTTGGAATAACTTGAGAAATGATATTAGTTTTTCCTTGGATTTCTAGAATTCAACAGTGAAGCCACCTGGTCTTGGGTTTTACTTGATGGAAGGCTTTTTATTATTGATTCAGTGATGTTAAGATGCTATCGGTCTGTTCTGGTTTTCTATTTCTCTGTGTTTCAGTCTCAGTAAGGGGCATGAATCTAGCAGTTTATGATTTCAAATTTGTTACTGATTATCAGATTTGTTGGCATGTAATTGTTCTTAGTAACCTCTAATAATCTTTGTATTTCTGTGCTGCGAATTATAATGTCTCCCTTTTATCCTGATTCTATAAGAGTCTTCTCCCTTTTCTTAATTGAGCTGAGGGTTAGTCTATGGAAAAGTAAGTGAAGCACTTTCTTTCCACCAACCATAAATGAGAGTTCTTGACACATAGCTCAATAGTGTCTGACGGTATCAGTCTTCTGAATTTTGGCCTATTGGTTATTTTTTCATATGCAATTGTACTTAGTGCTGTTTTTGAATATGTTTTCTAATTTTGTTTCTATTATAGAAAAGTGCAATCAATGACTGTAAAATTCATTTAATAGTCATGTAATTTTATAATTTTTATGTAATAGGAATTCAAATCTTTAAAAATGCTTGCAATAAATGAATAAAATAGAGGATAGAGATGTCCTATATAAATTTATATGTGACATCATTGTTAACTGAAATAATGGACATTTTCAGTTTTTTTCCCTCTATGCCAGGTTATTGAAGTTAATTTTCATTTAAAGAAAGAAGGTATATGTTTCTGGTACTTAAAATACACTGCAAATGCAGTGGTTAAATTTCTAAGTTTTGAGCTGTGTGTGGTGGTCCATGCCTGTGATTCCAGCATTTAAAAGGTTGAGGGCAAAAGGTTTCCTGAAAGCTCCAGGGCAGCCTGAACTGCATATGGAGTTCAAGGTCAGTGTGAAATACTGAAAGATCTTTTCTCAAACAAGCAACCAAACAAACAAACAAACAACCTCGCCCCCCCCCAAAAAAAAGAATCCCAAGTTCTGGTGTGAAATTAACTTGAGGTTGGATCTGATTCAGTTGTGTTCTTTTGATCAAAAATATTTGCTCTGTTTAAGTCTCTGGTATTTAATCTATTAAATGGTGTTTTAATACATTACATTAGAGACCCCTAAGAACAGTGTGAGACAAAATATGTCTGGAACATATTGCTTGTCATATAGTAAATATGAATTAAGTGGAAGCTATTATTAACGTCTTTGAACATCTATTTCCTTATTGTAATAAAGTAATGTAGGAATAATCTTGCTATATGATTACTGTAGGGACCCAAAGTGAGAGTGTGTATAAAAGACTTAATTTGTGAATGTTCTTCCATCAAACAACTTACATGAAGGAGCAATGATTTAAGGCATTTATCTATTTAGAGACTAGGTTTCAGTAATTAGTACATTGAAGAAATGTACAAAGTACTCTGCATGTAGAATTTTTTAATAACATATTAAATCTTATGAGCCTTATTTCAATATTTAATCCCCATTAGTACTTTGAAAAGTGTTTTATTACACCAAATAGTACTCCAAGTATGTGATAGTGCCATAAATTAGTTCACTTTTCACTGCAGGGTTAAAATGACTTGTTTCTACTCTGCTTCAGTACACTAAAGATTGAATTGATGCATCAAAAGACATAGTGGACTGGAGATGATATTTACGCTTCAATTGTATAAAAATAAATTTCACTCTTGAATAAAAACTGTATAATTCAAAAAGGGCTTATTTCAAATATTATTTAGTTGTTATTATAATTTTCTACTTTGTGTTCTGAGTATCTAAGAGTTATGGGAGGAAAAGGATATTTTAAAATCATTTTTGTCTTTATCAACTTACAGGTACGGTTGCACCTGCTGAATCTCTTCTCTAATTAGAGGTGGCGGATACACTGGCTCATTACTTCTGCCTAATGAGCCAGCTACCAAGCCACCTCTCTAATCAGAAAAGAGATAGGTACAGAATGTTCCAATGGACTTATTATTAATCAGTTTCTTTCTTTCCCTTGCTCCTTTTTCAATCAAAAAATTAAGTCACTGTCCTCCCTCGTTTTGTCCATATCTAAGATGGTTTCATTTGGAAGGGGTAATTGTGCAAGAGATTGCTACGCGCTAAAGTAAAGGTGCTCTCAGGCAGCGCCAGTCCCAGTTTCCGCCGCAGGACTTACACTGCATCAAACACAGTTATGCGGAGC